CCTAAACCCTAAACCCTAAACCCCTAAACCCTAAACCCCAAACCCTAAACCCAAACCCCTAAAGCCCCTAAAACCCCTAAGGGATCGACCCTGAAGCTGTGCTACCTCAGCCAAGGCCCTCTCACTCCAATGCCGACTTGGAGTCTGCTTTGGAGAGGCAAAGCTTTGGGGTAGGGTTTAGGGTTTAGGATTTAGTGTTTAGGGTTTTACATGGTGGATGTAGGCTTGCCTTACTAATTTATTAGAATAGGGTGTTGGGTTCCTTTATAGTATTAGGATAGTAAGGAATTGCCGTAACAAAATAGAATAGGTTTTTGGGTTCCTTTATAGTATTCGGATAAGAAGGAATTGCCTTAACAAAATAGAATAGGGTTTGGGGCTCCGTTGGGATAATGAGGAAGCTTTCGAATGCTATTGGTAGTTGTTTAGGCTTCTACATTACAGGCTTGCACATAAGGCTGTATCAGGGTTGTACAAGCCTTTCGGAACGGCTTTGTGAATCCCGAAGCCTAAACCCGATTCCACAGCTTCTAGGCCGAATTGAACTCCAAGGCGGGGAGGTGTTCTGTGCAAAGCGTTGTCGGAGCAGGCAGCAAGAGTAGTCGGACGTACTGTAGCAAGGGAAGCAGCACACAAAGCTAAGCCCGAGCAAGTGCCTAAACCCTAGACCCTAGGCTCTAACACCGAATTCCGTACCCTAAACTCACAAACCCACATCCCAGTCCACACAGCACGAAAGTGTACGTACAGTGTTGCATAGGCTTTCGTAGTTTGTTCACAAAGCGTGGGATTTCTGAAAGAAGGGGACGCCAAATCTTCAGAAGCCCGTACACACCCCTGTGGGAAGCCTTATCAAGCTTTTTCCACGCAAAGGTCTGAACAATGAGAAATCTATTGTCCTCCTCGCAGCTATCTAAATGCAGTATAAGTTGCACCGACACGTAATCCTAGCCTAAACCTGAGTTTTCAGGCCCTGCATGTGAAACGTACTTTCTCACGTGCAAGGGCAGCCTTCCGGCAGAGCAGTCGCCAGCGGCAGGTGGAGGCCCTTTGATAGCACGATAGGGCCTCACTAGTTAGAATAGGGCTTTGGTGGTATGTTTGGCAAAACCATAACGATGACTGTTAAGCGATAATATCAAGGCTTTTTCAGGCCTACCGAGCATAGCCCTCAACCCCAAAGCCCACGCCCCAGCACAGAAACACAACCGGGACTAGTATAGGGGCCCTAATAATTAGAATAGGGTTTGGGGGGTATATTATACTATACAAGTACAATAGGGAACCGCAAAACCCTATTCTATTTGTTAAGTGGGTATATTATACTATAGTCATAATTAGGAACCCCCAAAACCCTATTCTAATTAGAAGTCCCCTATATTCGAAGGGGGGAGAGAGACAGACCCAACCTCTTTGGGATGGCTTTGTTCTAGGGGGCTTAGGGCCGTTTAGGGGTTTCGGATCGGGCATTTCGGGTTTAGAGTTTACGTAGGACTTGGGAAGGTTTCAAGCAGGGATTGGGGCTTTAGGATGTGGGGGTCGCAAAATTCGGGCTTATGGTCATCAATCCGACTCTTTGATACGCAAGACGCCCATCTGTCTTGCTCCGATGCTTGTGTTTCGGGGTTAGGTTTTCGGACGATGCTCGCGGCAGCCTTTCCAGAGCATAGATTTTTTGGACCCTAAACCCTAAACCCTAAACCCTAAACCCCTAAACCCTAAACCGTGGAGCCTGTTTCCTGCTCACCGCATGGTCAGCAGCTCGAGAGTCGAAGGCTCGCACCAAATCCCAAGCCCAAGGCCTCAAGAGATCGCCACGTAAAGGGAACTCCAGTTGGAATATGGTTTCAGGGTAGGATACCCTATAATTTACCATAAAGGGTTTAGGATAATCATCTTCCAACTTTCTGGCTTTTACTGTATAGTGTAGAAGCCTGAAGAATTACCAACATCATTCCCTAGGGTTCCTTAATATAACTATACCATAAAGGGGCCCCAAACCGTTAAGGCCCCTACAGTAATGTAGAAGCCTGAACAGCTAGTCCTTCTTGGAATTATAGTAGAATATACATTCATTACATCCCCAAAACCCTTTTCTAATTGTTGAGGCGCCGATCCAGAGACTCCAATATCCCTTAATTAAGGATTATACCTTAAAGTATAGTAGGATCCCTTATATGATTTAAGGTATATTCCTAATTAAGGGATATTGGAGTCTCTGGGAGCCCACCCAGCGAAGCAGAAGGCAGCGCTGACCGCCAAAGTCGCGGAGCTTCGCGCCCGCCTGCCCAGGACCCTCCGTGGGATTTCAGGTTTAGGGTTTAGGATTTCGGATTTAGGGTTTCGGGTTTTTGGGGTTTTGGGTTTAGGGCTTTTAGGGTTTAGGGTTTTGGTTTAGGGTTTGGGGTGCAGGGTTTGAGGTGTAGGGTTTAGGATTTGGGGTTCAGGGTTTAGAGTTTAGGGTTCAAGGGACCTGGAAAGTGGGGTGTGAAGTGCCGTGGATAAATGTGGGATTTCAGGTAAGTTCAAGGGACCTGGAAAGTAGGATCTTAAGTGCCGTGCTCTATGTGGGTTTGCAATTCGATCATCACCATCGTTCTTTTTGGCTTGGCGCGCCATCTAAAGCCCCCCGCGATGCTCTAGGGTTTGAGAGTGTCAGCTCTTGGGGCTTAAGGTTTCAGGGCCCATTTTAGGGGTTTATCTAAACCCTAAACCCTAAACCCTAAACCCTAAACCGGGGTTTAGGGCTTAGGGTTTAGGCTTTAACGTTTAGGGTTAGGGTTTATTTAGGACTCAGGGCTTCGGGCCATAGGCCTGTTACACTTTAAGGCTTAGAAGGGACCATAAGCCTTAAAGGTCTTAGGGTTTAGGGTTTAGGGTGCTCCGAGCTGAAACGGCCGAATTAAGCACTCCGACCCATTCGAAACACTAAACCTACTTCTTCGAGAACCCTGACTCCGAAACGGGGTGGTGGAGTCGTGGATTATAAACACCCCAAACCCTGAACCCTGCAGCCAGAAACTCGAAGCCCTGAATCCCAAACCCTAAACACTGGACACAAAACCCCGAAACCGAAACCCCAAACAAGTCCACACCCTAAACCAGAAACCCCAAAATCCCTAAACCCCCATACCCCAAAATCTAAACCCTAAACCCTGAACCCTGATCCTTCTAGGGTTTCGGGTCTCTTGGCTTGCAGGCCGGCAGAGAGCCCTCCGACGGAGGAGGTCTGTTGCGAGCTAGGGTTTGGGGATTTTGTTTTTTTTTGGGGTTCAGGGTTGAGGTTTGAGGGGATTTGCGGTGTAGGGTATAGATCGGGTGCGGAGGGGTTGGGCCCTAAACGCTAAACCCTAGCCCTAAACCCCTAAACCCTGAACCCTAAACCCCTAAACCCTAAACCCTAAACCCGTAAACCTCTAAACCCCTAAACCCCCAAACCCTAAACCTTCTTGGGGGGGGTTTAGGGTTAAGGGTTTGGGCTTTTCAGGCCCGACTCGGTTGTTGAGGGGTCCATGCGGCCGATGGCAAAGTTTTGCTATGGGCTTTTCGGGTTTCGGGTTTAGGGTTTAGGGCTTAGGGTTTAGGGGTAGTTACTTGGAGGTTCATGTGTAGTTATAAGTGGGGTTATAAGTAGGGTAACTGTACTTATAAGCCATATTAGGGGACTTATATCCCCACTTATAACTACCCATGAACCTCCAAGTAGGGTCCCCTTTTAAGTCCAAATAAAAAGGACCCCCCCAAAGGCTTAACTTAGAGAGCTGCCCCTATGGGGTTTTGTAGGGCCCATACAGCTGATGCACAACATCCTGACTTAGGTTTTAGGCAGCGTTTAGGGTTGCTTTGGGATGTAAGGGGCTTGAGCTGGGGAAGTGAAGTACATTTCTTGTTGTGGGCAGGGCAGGGTTTGGTCCATCAGCAGTCTGAAGTAGGGATTATCTGACTATGTTGCCAATTGTATGCAAGGGCCCTTCCGACTATTGGTGCATTTGTCTTTGGGATGTGTCCCTAAAACTGCCCTAGTCACTGGACCCTAGACAGCTTTAAGGAAAGACCACAAGACATGCAGATCTGTATCAGGGCTTCGGAGATTCTGCTAGCAGCTTGTCCAAAGCGTACCGGGTACTCTTGATTAGGCTTCTGGTAGTAAGGGCTTTATGCAAGGATCCGTTATGTTCACTCAGGGTTATCGGGCGTAGGACCATAGATTTCGGTCTCGGGGTGTTCGGATGTCTGGAAGCGTACGGGTTTCAGCCGGATTTAGGGTGGTTTATGCACAGGTGTTGCGCGGCTGTACGAGGTTTCGGGGCTCTAGTTTTGGTGGCTCTTATTGTTGTTGTTACTCCTATTCTTAGTAATTACTGTTGTTTCTGGTATTGTTCTCAGTTTTCTGACTACTCTTACTATTCTTATTCTGATTAGCCTTACTTACTATTCTTACAATGTTCTCATGATTATTGTGGTTTTTGCTGCTATTGCTATTGCTTGGGTACGGCCCCCACTCAGTAATAGTTGAATATTGTTCATAATATGGACATAGTAGGACCTTAACAGTAGCCCTATTATAGACTCTTGCTGTATGGGGGCCGTACCTAAGCTATTGCTATTGCTCTCAAGGTTTCGAGGTTTGGATTTCGGGTGTAGGTGGGCCGGTTGAGGGCTAGGGTTTAGGGTTTAGGGTTTAGGGTGGAGGGGGTTTGCATAAACTAGAGCCGACGCTTGCAGGGCTTGGCATGGAACTTTGCTGCGATGTCCTGAGTTAGACCCCAAGCCCTAAGATCTAAAACTAGGAGCCATGTAGACGGCAGTTGTTGACAATCGTCGTCCCGGAAACATTGAAGGGGGTCAAATGCAAATCCTTGCAATAGTCCTAGACCGGAGTCTAGACTGGAATTTAGAGGGGTCTGGGGATGTGGATTTTGGGTCACAGTTGTTGCATGGTTCACTAGAACTTCGGGTTCATATCGCTTATACAGTTGCTGACATTTCGACATACTCAGGCTAGTGGCCTTCGCCACATTTCGAAAAACTGGCGAGATGGTGGGAATGGGCTCCAGGATCCAAGTGCTCGAACGGGTCGACGTCGGGATCGTTCGCAAGTTCAGTGGCGCCTGCCCGAAATGTCGCAAGCGGCCCTTGTGCACGCTGTCCTGCTGGCAGTCGAGCGGCCACTCAGGTCACACAGCTGGTGAACCTGCCGGAGACAGCACCCACGGTGGAAGTGAATCTGGCGCCCCCGAGGGCCTGGAAGAACCTCACTGCCGGACCTGCAGGAAAGCAGTGAGATTGCGGAATCTCTCCCGCCCATCTGAAAGATGTCGAAAGCTATCCGTCCATCCACTGCAGGAGCTAGTGCCATATGCGGAAGTAGGGCTTTTGTTCCTTCGTGTTCGTTTTCGAAAATCTCCTACATATCTGTAGCAGTTTCATTTTGTCCGCGTGCAGTGTACAGCTTTAGAGAAGCACGACCCCGCTCGCTTCCTACGGGGTTCTGGGGGAGCAGCAGCCCATGTTCTTGGTACAGTCCATCTGGAATGGATGGTTTTCCATGCCAGCAGTGTTGTAAATAGATGTGTAGAGGAACCCTGGAATAAGGGAACCCTCCAAGGAATTGGACCTAAGCCTTAAGTCTTAAATCCCAAAGCCCTAAACCCTAAGTAGCAAAAGTGAAGACCACCAGAATCCGACTCAGCAGCACCCGGCTGCGAGCCCCGGGAAGATCTAGAAAGTAGAACTCCTAACTTGGAGCCCTGTACTACTGAAGGGTACTTTATAGGAATCCCTTTCAGGGCACCCACAATAAACCGCCCTTAAAGGAACCCCTAAACCCTTAAGGGGTCTTCTTTGTGGATCCTCCCTAGATGCGTGGGCTCTGCGAGTGAGGAGCAGCCGGCGCAGCCTTTGCCGGATCCCTTACGGCTGCTCTTCAACTGGAGCCGGCCGGATACCTATTCGTTTTCCTTTTTTTAGGGGTTTAGGGGTTTCGGGTTTAGGGAACATGCAGGGTTTACGGGTTCAGGGTCTTGGGGTTTAGGGTTTGGGGGTTAGGGTCTAGGTTTGGGTTCTATTGGGGATGCAGACCCTTCCAAAGCTTCCCCCGTCTTTGCGGACGTTGATCGTAGGATCCTCTGTCTTCCACTGTTCAAGGCCCAGAGAGCCCAATACCCTTTAATTGAGGAATATGGCTTAAATTATATAGGGGTTCATATTATGATTTAAGCTATATTCCTTAAATAAGGGGTGGCTCTCTGGGGGGAGCGAGGTTGACAAACCGGGGGTGTGATGCATGTAAGGGCCTGAAGAAGTGGTTGTCAGAATTGGGGTCCCTGTTTTGGTACCTTAAATATTAGGTGCCGTATTATATTAAGGACCCAAAAAGGGACCATATTTTTGACAACCACCCAAAGAAGTACTACTTTGGGGGTTCTCTACTATAACTAGAGTATGAAATCCTCCAAAGCCTTATTCTGAATGTTAAGGCCCCTGTGTCTTAGCACCCTTATAGATGCCTTGTAGTAACCCTTCTAGACCTCTTTAAAGGAACCCTATTATTAAGGCCCCTATACTAAGTTACTTTTTTTCTGGTGTCTGCGGGCACAGCGGTCCCACTTCAGGGCTTCACGATGTGAGTTGCAGTGGTTTGTAGTTTGAGGCGTTTCCCAAAGCCCTGGACCCTCGGAATCCTAGGTTTTGAGCCCTGAAGAAAGTGGGCTCAGAAGATCCACTACTCCAAACCTTTAGAGCTAAGTACCCACACCGCACCGTTTAGGGTTTAGGGGCCTCTCTACCTAAGCCCTGAATCCTTTCCCCCTGAAAAGACCCCCGAAGTATTCCATGTTTTGCAGCCCTTGGAACTTGAGCCCTTCGGATTCTCGGATCCCAATTCCCTACCAAGTTCCCAAAGATCCTTGGACTCCCCGAACCCTAAACCCAATTAACCCCTAACACTAAACCCTAAACCCTAAACCCTAAACCCTAAACCCAATTAACCCCTAACGCTAAACCCTAAACCCCTTGAGCCACTAAGGACCTCGAGCAGCAGCGCGCTCGACCCTTAACCCTCAACCCGACGTTCAAACAGTATGTGTATATATATATATATATATGTATATATATATATATATGTATATATATATATATACACACACATATAAACAAGTACGTGTATAAATGTGTATATATATATATGTATAGACAGATCGTATCGTTTAGTATAGTCACGTATTGTAAAGTAGGACGCATAATACAATAGAAAGTCGCGTCATAGAGCATATCATATGTACTTCAAGACAACCGGCCCCGAAGTAGCCAACATGTAGGTTCGAGTTTTGGTACCCCTAAACTTAAACCCTAAACCCTAAACCCTAAACCCTAAAACCTAAAACCTAAACCGTGTAAGATCAGTGCATTCCCAGAGGTCCATGTTTGAAAAGGACCTAGAGATTCTGGATCCCTGGTATTCTAAGGACCTACAGGAAAGGCACCCTATAGTAGACTCCAAAAAGTTGGAAACCGGATTACGGCCAAATAGTGCTGGGATTCCCTATGAATTACTCTTAAGGTTTGAAGCTATGTGGTTTCCAACTTTTTGGCTTCTACTGTAGATCCTAACCCTTCAGCCCTACTGCTCAAACAGTATACTTGAACCTTCATGGTGGGTGTGGTCGTCCTAAAAATTGCAGCCTTCTGTTCTGATCAGGTGGCTGCCAGTAACCCTAAATAAACCCTAAACCCTTAAACCCTAAACCCAAACCCTAAACCCTAAAAGCTAAACCCCAAGCCCTGCTGGTTTGTTATACTGATTTGTTTTTAATTCATCATAGACAGATTAAACAACTAAGTCTTCAAGCCGATAGCTTAGCCTGGCAGGCATCCAGGCAGCACTGCTTAGCAGCATCAAGTCCCCTGACGGTGAAGTGGTGCCGAAAGCAAAGACATCGGTCATTTTGCATCACGATGAAAAGTCGCACCGTCAGCGACGGCAGAGGGACAAGGGGCATGTGCTTCAGAATGCGGAGAAGTGCTTCCTAGTGACGCCAGACTTTACTGAAACAACACGGGATACGAAGTCCCAGTTGTTCCTGCATGTTTGGTGGCTGCGTTTACGCGCTTTTGATGCTTTCCAGGTACAAATGGCAGCGCGTGACGGTTGCCGAAACTTTAAGTTTCAATTGCCCAGCCCCTGAACCCGAACACCAAACTCGAAACCCCAAGCCCCAAAGCATAAACTCCTAAATCCTAAGACCAAGAGTGTAGAGCCCGGCTTGAGGAATCCGCGGCAACCAGAATTGCCAGGAGCGCTCCGCAGCTTATTCAGGGTTTTGGGTATAGGCTTTAGGGTTTAGGGTTTATGGGATTTAGGGTTTAGGGCCTAGGAGTTTTGGCATGAAGGAGTTTGGTGGTTTTGAGGCTCGGCTTCTCAGAGAAGACTTGCCGGGAGAACACTAGATATTGAATTTTGAGTCCATTGCCGCAAAAGACGATGTCTCTGTCAGGAATTACTCAGTTCATGTGGGGCTTACCTTAGAAGGGGCTCCCACCCGATAATAATGGTTTCATAGGAATATAATAGGGCCCTAATATAATCCTTATAGTCACTATTACAGGGTGGGGGCAGCTCCTAAGGTTTACCCTAAACCCTTAGACATGTTTCGTCTCTTTTCCTAAACCCTAAACCTCAAACCCTGAACCCTAAACTCTGAGCCCTAAACCCCTAAACCACCCCAAGCCCTAAAGCGGTTGAATGGTTAAACCTTCAACGCAAACCCGGAAGAACTTTAAACTACGAAGAAACCGCAACCTAGAACACACAACGCCCTAAACGCACTCTATAGAACCTTTACAGGAAGCCTTATAGGAATCCTTAAAGGAACCCTCAAAAAATCCCTAAACCTTGAACCCTAAACCCTAAACCCTGAACCCTAAACCCTAAACCTTAATCCCTAAACCCTGAACCCTGAACCCTAAACCCTGAACCCTAAACCCTACACCCTAAACCCAAAACCGACCCACTCAAGCGAGCACAGGGCCGGAGATCGTTGAGGCTTTGCTCTCAACAGCTTTGGCCCGCCTCGCCGAGTGCTCGGCGTTGGTGGCGCCGCCGGCGCTGCTTGTTGTCGGTATTGTGTTTACTTGTTTTTATTTAAAGGTAGTGCCGTCATTGTTTCTATTATTACTGTGTCATTCAAGTACCATGGTTCTTCTTATCATTAGCATTGTTCCTTCTGTTTTTGTTCTGATTCTTGTGATTACCAGCTGTGCACCAGCATTACGGCTACTGTTGTTGCTGCTTGTATTATTACTGACTCTTGCTGTTATTGCAGACGCACTGGTTGCCTTTTTGCACATGGGGCTCGCGGCAGTTTAGCGTTTTGGGGTTTGGAATCAAGAATTTTGCTGTTGTCTTATTTGGATTTTGATGCTGGTGTTCAAGGTTGGGCCTTAAGAATGGGGTCTGGCAGGAAATGCCGTCCATCCGCCGGGGGAAGGAATTGATATAGGGGCCTTAATAATTAGAATAGGGTTTGGGGGCCCATTGTACTGACATTATAAGAAGGAACCCCCGAAATGATGTAGGTCATTGTTGCGGCCTCTATATTGATACGCCTCACTGCACAGTGGGTCTCTGGGATACGGCGAGGGACCTACTATAGGATCTGAATTCCAAAATAGGAAGAATAGTATGCTTTGTTTGCCAACCATATTGGGTATGATGTCTCCCGAATACGCTAGTGTAATGATTCAGGAGTCCATAGTAGCTTCATCTGTGTTGCTGTCTCACTAGCGCAGCTGCCGGCCATGGGTCACTCCGTGCGACACTTTGCTTCCGCTCCTTCATTGCAGCTTTGCTGTTTTGCAGCAGAAAGTTTGGCTTGAAATCCCGCTAGCATTCTGCGCATAAACCGCCCCTAAACCCTAAACCCTAAAGCCTAAACCCTAAACCCTAAAGCCTAAACCCTAAACCCTAAACCCTACGCCCCTAGGCCCGTCCGACTCTTTTGAACCTTCGATCTGAAACAGACTGTAACAAATGGGAGTTTCCGAAAATTGGGGGTACCTTATTTTGGGGTCCTTTAATAAGGATCCTACTATTTAGGGTACCATATTAGGGTCCCCTATTTTCGGAAACCCCCAAATAGTTACTTCAACTTTTCCTCAGGTCTCCTATTCTGCTTCTGCGATAGCATACAGCGAAAGCCTTCCCAAAGTATTAAGGCCCCTCTATTATAGTTCCCTTATAGTAGCCCTTCAAGGAGCCCTGTAAAGGAACCCAATTCTAATTATAAAGGCCCCAAAATATTGGTTAAGCTTTTGCCAGGAGATGAAGATACCCTAAACCCTTGCAAAACCCTGCTCAACAAAACCCTAAACCTATACATATTAGTAAAGCTCTTGCCAGGAGATGAAGATACCCCCTGGCGAGGCCCAGCGTCGTCGATTCGTCGGTCGTAGGCTTTGGCTTTCAGGCTTTTTTAGACAGGGCTTTTGGGTTTTTAGAATGTGTCTAGGGGTTTCAGGACGGGTTTACGGTTTAAAGATGGGTTTAAGGTTTTACGATGGGTTTAGCGTTTTAGGATGAGTTCGGGGTTTTAGGATGAGTTTAGGGTGTGGGACGAAGTCCACACAAGCCACCCGAGCAGCACCACCACCACCAATCCCCGAAACGACATAGCTGAAACAGAAAAGCGCCAAACCCTAAACAAACAATCCCCAAATCTAAGCGACCTTAGCCCTCAGTAAAGGCCCCACGCGCCAAACTTCAACGCCCCACTCCTCCCTTCTTAAGGAAGCTGAACATGAAGAGCCACCACGGAGATCTTAAAGGAGGCTCAAAGGAACTCCTTACAGTAAACTCCATAAAGTTAAAAACCGGATTAAGGCCAAATAGTGTTGGGATTCCCTATACATTACTCTTATGGATTCAGGCTATTGGGTTTCCAACTTTGAGGCTTCTACTGTAAAGGAACTCTGGCAGGAACCCCAAACCCAACGATGGCCCCTCGCAACAAGGACGCCAAGGTGGTGGTCGTCGGCCGGGTACTCAGGGTGTTGGGTTCTTCATCAAAGTGGCGGCTTGTGGTGGTGAGTGTCTGCAGGGTCTTGTAAGTTAATTATAGTATAAAGGGCCCCAAAAACCTATTCTAATAATCAAGGCCTCTATATTAGGTGATAAGATATGTAAGGCCTTAGGGTTGTTTTAATTACGGGTTCCTTGGGTATCACTTGTACCTATCATTTGATGCTCCGGGTTTTCCTTGAGTGTTTTGGGTACTTGGTAACTTCGTAAGGAGGGCTAGTAACGTAGCTGCAGCTATATTATCATGTTTACTTACAACTAAAACGAAGGTGCTTATATCAGCCTGCTCAGTCAGTCACCTGAACCTCTAAAGCCTTATCCGTAAACCTCCTAAGTCAGGCTTCAAGGTCGCAATGGTCCAGGCCTCCAGGAAAAGGTTCTGGAAAGGTCAAGAAAGGTTTAGGGTGCGAGGCGGATTAATGTTCGGGGTTTGGGGGATGTCACGGGCTTTTCAGGCGTGAGTTTCGTATGCCATTCTGGCGTACTCTGGTCCAGTATGCTCCGGGTGCGGCAGGGTTCATGGGCAGTTCTCGAAAGTAGGATGATGTCGTTTAAGAAGACCTTTCGGGGCTTCTGGTGTCCATCTGTCCCTATGTTGCATTTTAGGTTCTGGTTGTCCATTGCTGTCGCCTGGGCTTCGTAGGGTGCGATACCTTTGAGTTGGAGTCGGGCATGTGTTAGGTTGCTACAAAGCAGTGTTTCCGAATTCAGGGATTCTGCTTGTGCGTTGACCCAGTACAGCAGGATGAAGATTGGAGATGGTCTACAGCAAACCCCAACCCTAAACCACGAGTTTGTCACTAACCTCTACCCATAAACAGTAAGTGCAAACTCTGGATACCCCCATCTCAGCCGCTCAATGCTGAAACTGTACTTCCTGTTGAACCAAGAGATGCGAAAGCCCCCAAAAAAGCCATCCAAAACTCCAAATATTCAATCCTAAACCCTACATCCCCAACCCTAAACCCTAAACCTCTAAACCCCTAAAGCCTATAAACCCCTAAATCCTACCGTAACACACAAGAGGCCGTAAACTGTATACCCTGCCAGGCGACCTCCATGGGCAGTTGGCAGATGTCGGGGGCCTCGGTGCAAATCGTATCCCATGGAGGGCCTTTGGGGGCTTTTGGGTTCAGGGTCTAGGGGGTTAGGGTTTAGAGGTTTAGGGTTTAGGGTTCAGGGGTTTAGGGGTTTAGGGTTTAGGGCTCAGGGTTCAGGGTATCTTCGTAATAGGGATTTCGGGGCTTCTAGGGCAGGTCGATTTTAGGGTTAAGGGTTTAGGGAGGGGTACTTTCTGTGTGGTTTTCTGTGTGGTATTTAGAGGTTGTAGAGTGATTCGGTCTTGTGCGGATTGTGGGATGTTTTCGAGTTTTAGAGCTGTTGGGGTCATGTCATCTAGGCTCAGGCCATGGACTTGGCCATGCCCTGATGATTCTCAATTTCTCAATGGCTGGGTTTTGGAGTACCATACGTAAATAACTAGTGGCACCTGTTCCTTAAAGGAATCATGATGAAACCACCTTATATATTCGTTTCTCCTTGGTTACCGCCCAGTCAGCGAGCGGCCCCATATCTACATATCCCATCCTCGAGGGTCCTAGTACCCAAATTGCAGGGCTTCTTGAACCCTCTAACCCGGGAACTGAATACTGAACTCTGAGAAATTCGGGTGTCATAATCCATGACTGAAGGAATGCAAAGGCCCTAAACCCCACAGCAGAGCCCCTAAACACCAAAGGGGTAGGTCTGAAAGGTGCGACTTGTGCACTTGAGACTCCGGGGGTTCTGCGAGTCTATTTGGTGGAAAAGACGAAACAGGCTCTGGTGGAAGCCTACGAAGCGCAACTTGAAACGATGATCACGAATGAAGCCGGTCGATGGAGTCAGTGGAGTTCCTGAACAAGTGTTTGAAAACAGCGAAAAGCGACGAAAAACGAGTGAGCCTCGACGAGGTGCGAAAGGAGGTAACGAACCTCAACAAACTCGCACCGAGAAGTGTGCAGCCGAGTTCAGCTGCCGGTTATGAAGCTCCGGACGGAGGAGCTCTTACAGAAGCAAGAAGAGGCCAAGGCAAGGCGCCGGGCCCAGGTAGAAAAGGCGCTCAAGGTGCAGCGTTGAGGATGGGGAGTCAGAGGCCTTGTAGCGGAAGCCTAGACCCTAAACCCTGAACCCCAGCCCTGAACCCTGATACACACAAATGTTTAGCAACTAGGATGCCCAGTAGTACCCTTATTCCCTTTTTGTAGTCCTAGGTTCCTTATAAAGTTACCCACTACCAAAAGGAGAGGCCTTTTTATTCTTGGGTTAGTGGGTATCCTAGGCAAAGTTTAGGGCTTGGAGCTAACAGTCGCCATGAGACCCTGCTAGATGCCTCTGGTCCCCTTCGAGACGGTTACGAAACCCAGCTGCGCCCTTTTGCAGCCCCCATAGACCTCCCAAACCCCGAGCCCTAAACCCTATATAACCCCTGAGCCCTAAACCCCTAAACCCAGATTTCTCCGAACCCTCCTGAGCCCTCAACCCCTAAACCCCTAAATCTCTGAACCCGGAACCCTAAACCCACGACCCTAAGCCCACCGAGACCCTTAGACTAGGGACCCAAAAAGCACATAAGCATAAGCATTGTTCCGGGGGATATCCCCACCTTATTGGGCTTCCTTTAAAGGGGGCTTATATGGGATGTCCCTATCCGAATTTTTGCTTATGTGCTTTGTTTGGCCCTATTAGACAAGCTGTGCCCAACTTGCCCAGGCCCTGCACATCTTTCACAGCTGCGGCCCACCAGACAAGGAGCAGACACAAGTGCAGAGTACCTTCAAAAGAGGTTAGGGTTTAGGGTTTAGGGTTTATGGTTTAGGGTTTATGGTTTAGGGTTTTGGGTTTATGGTTTAGGGTTTTGGGTTTAGGGTTTACGTAAACCTGGTAAAGTTGGAAACCGGATTAAGGCCAGATAGTGCTGGGATTCCCGATGCATTACTCTTAAGGATTGAGTCTATTGGGTTTCAACTTTTTGGCTTCTACTGTTTCCGTATTCTAAGGCTAGGGTGAAATGGGTGAGCAGCTTCTGTAACGGGATATCGCAGCCCTTGGGTAGGAAGCCCCAAATCTTAACCCGGTGTCTTGTCAACCCCAATGACTTACTGGTGGTTAGTCGGGAATGGGGACTGGAATACATGGATTACAAATCACGGGATTACACAGGGATGGTTCATGAAGAAGCTTAACTAATAGCTAATAACCAGTGTTATTCTTTAAGATTCCTCCAATGGATACGCTCCAGACAATGGACATGCTCCAAACCCACAATTCTGATGATAAAAGCTTTATAATGACCCTAACTTTCGCAGTTGGGGTTTAGGTTTGAAGTTGGTGTTCTAGAGAAGCAACCTGAGTCCTTCGATGGCTTTTGGAGTTCGAGCTAAGATTCTGTGGCCTATCGTTGTCGCTGCCACGGACGCTGTCGCCACTTGACCTTAAACGCTTGAGAATGAGGTTAAACATGCACCGGGCAGTTCGAAAACCGATGCCCATGGCCCCGCGGCAGATTTTCGTTGACAAGCAGGCTTGTTGGAAGGGTTGGATCCGACATGCTGCCTTGTATTCTTGTTGCCGGCTCAGAATCCCGTGGACGGGTGGTACTGAAGGGGCAGGTTTCGCCCGAGGTACTGGTTTCCACGAGCAGGGCCGGATCGTGACATCCGAGCGACCGTTCGTGTTTCCAAGCATCTCTCCGCGGCCGTCAGTGCCGAAGTCGTGGCTGAAGTGGACCACGGTGTCAAATTCCGCACCGCCCTAGACATTTTGGACGTCGGGGGATTCGACTTGGAATCCTGAGTAAGTAGGAGCGCCTTTCCTTGCCGGTTCCCTCCTTTGTACGATCATGAGAATCACTATGGGCCCTATCCGACTTGTTAAGACCCTTAAAGCAGACCTGAGCTGGCAACGGGGCCCATTCCAGGAGAGGCGGTACCTCATCAACGGCGACATCTCCGACCGCGGTGCGCAGGCCCGAACAGGGATTTGGTTGAGGTGTTTTAGGGGTTTAGGGTTCAGGGTTTAGGGTTTAGGCCTTAGCTTTCAAAAAGTTCTCGAACTACTCTTGCTCCCTCAACCCTAAGTCCAAGACCCTACACTCGTAACTTTCAGGAAGTTTTCGAACTGAGCAGGAAATCCTGAACGCTGAACCCTAATTCCTAGACCCTAGACCCGCTTCCAAAAAGTTTTCGAGCTATTCTTGGTCCCTCAACCCTATTTCCCAGACTCTATACCCTTGACTTTCAGGCTTCCGAACTATTCTAAGCCTTAAAACCTGAACTCTGAACCCTAATTGCTAGACCTTACACCCTTAACTTTCAAAAAGCTTTCGAAGTATTCTGAACCCTGATTCCTAGATCCGACATCCACCACTTTCAGGTAGCTTCCGAACTATTTGCGAGCCGCAGGCCGTTGAGATTTGGATCCTCGTCCTGGCCTTCATGGCCAGATATCCAGAGCAGGTGGGCTTGGGGTTCTGTCTGTTTGGGGTTTAGGGGTTTAGGGGTTTAGGGTTTGAGGGTTTAGGGTTTAGGGTTTAGGGTCTCGGGCTTAGGGGGAATGGCTCCCTATGATCATCCCTTAAGGTCCCCTATAGTAGTCCCCATAACCCATTCCCTACTAAGATCCAGACAGTTGGGGTTCAGGGCTGAGAAGTGTTTGGAACCTTAACCCAAGCCAATCCCCAAACGCTATACCTGAAACCCAAACCCCGAAACCCTAAACCGAAAATTAACCCCAATCCCCAAGCCCTAAGCCATCCTAGACCCTACCCTAAATTCCCCAAACCCTACAGACCCTAGAACCGTGCATGCCTGAGAGCTAAATCCTACGATCCTCTTCAAAGTAGGGAGCCCCCTAAGGGCCCTTCCCTCCTCCCCCAAAAGTTCTCACGCAGGTACACGTCCTACGGGGCAATCACGAAAACGAGCACTTGAACGAGCGCTCGCGCCTCTTCGGAGGTGGCTTCGCAGAGGACTCTCTGTTCGAACCAGATCGCAAGGCTGTTATAGGTTCGGTAAGGGTTTCGTCAGAGGTGTATTCAACTTAATTAACTATTCAGGTTGACTTATAATGGAATCTCCTGCGGGTGTAGGCGTAGATCTGTTTATGCTGCTCCCACGGCTCAGGAGTGCCTGGCCAAATATGGCCCGCGTCGCCCGGCCCGGCAAGCTTAGGGTCAGGCAATATAGAAGCCTACAAAATTGCGAGTTTTAATGTTCGTCAGGGTTGCTTGTTGTACTTGTACTTTGAGGAGCCCACAACGCTATTCTGGATATTAAGGCGCCTGCTTTAGTGCTGAAGCTTTAGAGTTTGGGGCTTGGTTAGCGGGGCGAAGATGCTGCAAGTCAATGCCGGTAGTTAACTACACTCAGGACAGTCCTTTGATGCAGGACGTTGTTTTTTGAATGATCTCAATGTGAATCAATATGAGTTATCTTAGCCTCTAAGGACACGGTATTGCATCTTCTTGATAGGATTTTCGTCCACTTGCGTATTCCTTGGGATTTCAGCGACATTCACCTTGCGTGGCCCTATGCCCTAAACCCAAAGCCCTAAACCCTGAACCCTAAACCACAAATACTAAACTCTAAGCCCCACACCCTGAACCATAAATCCTAAGCCACCCTGAACCATAATTCCTAAGCCCTAAACCCCTGATCGCTTTTTGTCCTTTCCTTTCCGTTTTGTTGGTGTTGGGACTCTCGAGGTGCAGGGTCCGCGGCTGAGGGTACTACTGGGGTCTAAATACTTATCAACATTTTTGTTCGATAGGGTTTCTTGTTTGAACTACAGTACACTAAGCCCCTCTAATTATTAAGGTCCCTGCATTCGTCTTCGAACCTTGATTTCTCAAAACATCTAAGGTGGGTTCCGGAGGGTACAGATGTCTCAGAAAAGCAGAGGCTGTTTAGTACCACAGTTTATAAGTATAAGGCAGTCAACACCAAACTCTGCAAGATTTTCATCGAAAATGTAGCGGGAACTGCGGGCAATCCGATTTTGGCAACCCCGGAATAGAGGGGCCCAAATAATTACCAATACTCTTTTGGGGGTTCCTTGCGATAATTATAGTATAATGGGCCCCAAAACCCTATTCTAATTATTAAGGCCCCTATATTACCGCTTTTTGCCTCTGTAGAACCAGCGTATTGTTCTAGTCATGAAGGCCCTTATATTGCCCCCCCACCCGGGCTCTGCTGCAAGGTATCTATGAGCGATTTCAACAGCTTCCTAACTGCAATTGGCAAGGAGTGTTCAGGGTTTGGACTCGAGGCTTCAATCGAATCTAAACCACGTGTTCCAGGGTTTCGGCTAGGGGTCAGGTTTTCAGGGGTTTTTGATACTACGGTTTCCTTACAGTATTCAGGTAAATGTCTTTCATGATTTAAGGTGTAAGGCTTCCTCAATGAAAAGCTTTTGGGAGCTCACGGACCTTAATCTTCGACACCTGGCTAAAGGGAGCGCTGTCTACGTCCATACACACCCCCGGCAACAGATTTATTGCAGAAGACCTGTGGTGGAGCCGTATACGGGGTCTTAAAACGTGATTCGGGGGAGGCTCTTCTGGACGCGACTGGCACTAGTCCAGACCGCTGATCAACAAGCTCTCGTTCTCAAGTTCTTAATCTTTGGGGATCCAGCGCTGAACCGTAAACCTGCTAGAACACTTCTTGATATCAGGGGTCTACATGTCCAAGGTCTGTAGCCAGAGACTAGTCACCATGCGACAGCTTGGGTTTCGGGCTTTTAGTTCGGATTTGTGTCTATAGTTGACAGGGTTCTTGCCAAGGAGCTTAGCTTAAGATAGTCGACATCTCTTTAATACCCATGCTTCCTTGGCATGGCTAGGTTTCCGCAAAGTCTTAGCAAAAGCCCGTATTTAAACAGAACGTGTCGAAAGCCTATCAAAACCTTTTCAAACCGGTCATAAACAACTCTTAAGCCCTCAAAGTTCTTCAGCTGCCGAACCGGGTTAGTGTTGCTGTGCTGGGATCCTGCTTCGCTTTGTTGGCCAGGCACATTATCTACATCTTTTGACGTTAACGGCTTAGGGTATTCGGTTTTATGTTTAGAGCTTTGGGTTTACACATAGGGCTTGGGGCTTCGGGTTTAGGGTTATATAATGCCTTGAGTTTATAGCGCTTGCTGTTTCGGGGCTTTAGGTATTCAGATTTAGTTGTTAAAGGGTTCACACTTCACTTTACACTATGCCGGGTGCTTTACGGTAGGTTTAGGATGAAGACTAAGAAGGACTGCGTTGATAGCAAGACAAGATCGTGTCGAGGTTTAGGTTTTAGGTTTCTGAGTTTAGGGCCTTGAATTTGTATGCTTGTCCCCCAAGGCTCTAACCAGCAAATCCTAAACCCTACACCCCTAAACCCGAAACCCTAAAGCCCTAAACCCCTTAAACCCCCAAGCCTAAACCGCAGCTTTCAGTGGGGTGTCTTAATTTTGACCGGGGCTCAGCTGTCGGCAGTTTAAACCCTCCAGGAGGACCCATATGCAAGCCTTATCATTGCAACTCTAACAGTTAAAACGCCACAAGACTCAAGACCCTTCTGAAAGCACATAAAGCCATATACTTCAAGCCATTTTAAGACTGAAGGCAGCTCCTGAAATTTTGTTATTTTAAGGGTCTTAAGAATTACCTCCGCTGTTTTGGGGGTTCCTTATTGTAAACTTATAGTATAATGGGCCCCAAAACCTTATTCTAAGTATTAAGGCCCCCCATATTAGTCTGTGTGTTCGAGGCTCTTCCTCCTGTTGCCCCTCTTCGCCGTTCTGGAGAGTCAGGTGGGCCTCTAGCAAGTTTAGGGTTTCGGGGTTTAGGGGTTTAGGGATTTAGGGTTTGGGGATTTTGGGTTAGTATTGTTGGTTTATAGTATGGGTTTGTTTATAGTATGGGTTTAGGGTTTTGGGTTTAGGGATTTTTGGTTTAAAGTATGGGTTTAGGGTTTTGGGGTTAGGGGTTTTTGGTTTAAAGTGTGGGTTTAGGGTTTTGGGGTTAGGGATTTTTGGTTTAGAGTATGGGTTTAGGGTTGAGTGGTTCAGGGTTTAGGTGCTGGGGTTTTACGGTTTAGAGTTGGGGGCTGGTGTTTTGGGCCTTACAGTTGAGGGTGTGGGCTTTCGGTTGGAGATTATATACCCGAAGGGTCCAAGTACCCAAATACTAACATTTCAAAGCTCCAAAAACCATTCAGGGTATGGATTTTGGGATTTAAAACCCTACTATTTGGGTACTTGGACCCTCTGGGATAGGTCCATGCGAAACAGAATGCTTCTGCAGAGTTCGTTTGGCCTCTAACGCGACGCAAGCAAATTGTAAGATGATCTAGACCCTCCATTTACCCTCTACCTCAACCCTAGGCCTTAACCCAAACTCTAAATCCTTACATTTAGGAAGCACGATTCCTAGCTCCTGAAAACGCCTAACCTTGAAATCCCAAATTCTCAATCCCATACCCTAGACCCTCAATCCTTAACCCTAAACCCTCAATCCTAAACCCTAAACCCAAAACCCGTTTAGTTCTTTTTTAAAGCTCCTTTTTCAGCCTAAAATAAATTTAAACCCTCAAATCCCAGACCCCCGAGCCCCAGGTCTTTGTGGTCCACGGCGGCCTGTTTCGGATCCCAGAGGCCGGGGCGAATCGGGGAAAATCTTGAACTTCGAGTTGCATATGTGGGTGGTTGTCGAAATTATGGTCCCTTTTTTGGGTCCTCATTATAATGCGGCACCAAGTATCTAGGGTACCCAAAAAAGGGATCCTGATTTTGACAACTACCCATGTGCGTGGTTGTCAAAACTACCCCTCGGCCCCATAGTAGTTCCTTTTTGGGACTACCTTATAGGATTCTATCTAATGAAGCCCGAAAAGGAGCTACTTTGGGGCCTTTGAGTAGTGACGGTTGTCAAAACTACGGTCACGTTTGGGTCCCAAACTATAGGGTGCCGTATTAAGAGTAGAATTGTGTAGGTTTCCCCGGAAGGACCACAATTTTGACAATTACTCATGTCTTTTCGTGGTGAAGGGTAGGTTCTTGTGTTAAGGGCCTTGTAAGCTTTAAGAATTTACAACGGGGTTCGCAATGGACTTCGACAAACAGGGGTGCCTTATTCAGCAGTCCTTACGACAAGGATCCTACTCTTTTGGCTTTAGAGTTCTGTGCGCTTCCGTGTGTTCTGGGAATTAGGTTAGGGTTTCCCTTGCGGTTCGAGGTTGAGGCTTTTGACCTCCCGTCTTAGGGTTGGGATTTAATGTGCCAAGTTAGGGTGGTTTGCTGATTTAAGTCGATAGCTTCGTAGGAGTTTACCAGTAATCCTTGGACTGTGGTTTACGACTCTCAACCCTACAGCCCAAAATGCAAAACACCAATCCCAAGACTGTCCTTCACACGCGGCGTTCGAGCCCCCAAACAGTGTTGCGGGGCTTCGGGGTTCTAAGAGGGCCCTTATCACGCCCTAATGTCCCGACGTTTGGACCCCTATGTTTACTTGTCCTTGAGTGATCTTGAGTGACAGGTAACGCTGGCGCGGCTGCAAACGCTGCCTTATCGCCGGCACTACCCCCTCGGTCTCAGCGAGGACCCTTTCGGGTGGTTTATGCTGGCTTCATTCCCGTTTCCGGGCTTAAGCAGCTGGTGGCTGATTGGCAACTCTAGCCTGACGTCTTGAACTGTTTAGAAATACTAACTCAAACTACTGCGTGTATAGGGCCTCCGAGAATGGCAGAGATTAAGGGTGAAGCACTCAGCCCCTTAACCCTTAGCCTCCAAACTCTAAGCGCTAAACCTTCTTCGCGAGTTACTACAGGGCCCAAATAATTACCTACACTATTCAGGGGGGCTCCTTATCACACGTAATTATGGTTTAGCGGGCCCCAAAACCCTAATTATTCTAATTATCAGCGCCCCTATATTACCGTTTGGGGTTTTAGGATCTAGGGCCCTTTGTTTGGGTTTGGGGTATGGGCGTTAGTGTTCCGGGATGACTTTGACACCGAAACTACAAACAAGAAACGGCCACGAAGGCCATGCTTGTGCGTGGGTGGGTGGGTGGGTGGGTGGGTGGGTGGGCTGCTAAGTTAGTTACCTTAGGGGTACTTAGAAATAATTTTTACTTTTTGGTTATTATACTCCCTAAGAAACTGCTAAAATTTGATTTTTGCTAGGGTTCTGAGTTCAGTATAGTTACATCCTCAAGCCCTAGTTCCGGAACTCCAGGACCTAATCCCTAAACCCCTGATGATCATGCTCCCTTTGACCCCCACTCCAGTGCAAGGCTGTTGTGTCCAGTGGAGCAAGAAGCTGCCAAACATGCTCGAAAGACGAAGCCGAAGAGCGGCAAAGCAGCAGCACCGAAGAGTGCGGGTGTCCCTCCAGCGGCATGAAGCCTTGCCGATGAGTGTGCGCACAGCTGCTTCGATGCTTCACTTGGGGTAGGGATCTGGATACGATGCAGGTTTGAGCTGAAACATACATGTACCTTAAACTACCAAACCCTACTTTTCTGTAGGTCCTAAAAATAAACCCTAATATGGAAAATATAGGGACCCTACAAAAAGTAGGTCTTGGTAAGTTAAGGTATGTGTACTCTACGACGCCGGGCCCTGCATTTTGCGAAGTCTCATGGTGATCGAAGCTTCGGGAAGCAAAATATTCATTAGTCGCTGCAGGTTTACGCCCTTATGCCATGGCAGGCTGATCTATATAGACTAACTGTCGAACACACACAAGCATAGTTTGCATGCGCGCGCAATCAGAAAGCGGTCTTGTGCCGTGTTGCATACAACCTGTTGTCGTTGAGAAGCCCTTCGGACGAGCATTAGTAACTTTTCAGCCCTCGGTCTCGTCTTGACAATGGTCTTTTGCAGCATGGATCGTTAAAGTGACACCAACACCTCTCGAACCATCGAATCCTCAACGCTTAAAACCCTGGACCTTAAACCCGTCCAGAACCTTTAAATGCACCGTCGAAGCCTAAATCTTTTAACACGAAGGCCCCTTTAATCCCAAAGCCCTTGACCCTTGAGCCCGCAACACCTGAAGCCCTAAACCCCGAACATTTTAAACCCTAAAGCCCCAAACCCGTAAACCCTCAAGCCCCCAACCCCTAACCTCAAGCCCTCAAACCTTAAGAACCATCTCCCTTGACTCACTTGCACGCCAGGAAGAGAGGGCCAGCGGCAAGGATTGGACCGAGGATTGGATGCAACACTAAAGGCTTTATGGCTTAAGGCTAGATTGTTTGGTGGCCTAAATACTACCAAATACCTACCAACATTATCCGTCAAGGCCCCTTACTGAAACGGCGGTATAGGACAATATACCCCGAAACCCTATTCTGATTATTAAGGCCCCTAGAGTAGGGTTGGAGTGTGGGGCTTTAGGGCCAAGTCCCCTAAACCCTCATCCCTAAACTCTTGACCCCAATTCCTAAACCGAAGCCCTCATCCCTAAGCATAAACCCTAATCCTTAAACCTAAACCCGACCCCCTAAGCTCTTGACCCTGATCCCGAAAGACTTGACCCTAAACCCTCTAAGAGACTCGGATGATGTAGAAGGGCTGTTGGATTTCGGGGTCCGGGCATGAAAATGTCGGATAAAGTCGGCCCCTGTCGGTTTAGGGTTCAGGGTTTAGGGTTTAGAGTTTCCCGCACTACGGACTGAAAAGGGTTTCCTATTAGTACGGTCGGAAGGGGGCCTCCGCATTGAGACCGCAAGGCACTCTGTTTCGGGACCTTCTTGCAAAGCTCATAGATCTGGACATCAATCTTCCGGACTTGGGCCCAGAATTGTAGCACAAGCTTCGCATCCTAAACCCTAAACCTTAAACCCTGAACCCGAGCGTTCTAGAACGGACTTTGTTGGCAATCCGCATAAACTGGGGTCCACGGTTTTTTTTTCCTAGGTCTGGTCCGGTCTGGGGGGCCTTGCTAGGTCTGGTCCCATGGTCCCTGGTCCCCTGGTCCTTTGGTCCTGTGGTCCCCTGGTCCCTGGTTTCCTGGTCCCCTGGTCTCTCCTGGTCCTGTACCCCTAAACCCTCAAACCTGCAAGAACGCGTAGCCTTGATGACTTCCATTTACGATCTCTAGTAGCCAACAGTACCACGTTCGAAACTTTCCTGCAGGTTTGTGAAGCAGCCAGCCCATCTAGACGGAAGGGTCCAAAGAACCAAATACGTAGGATGGAAGCCGAAAGTTGGAACACGTCCACAGGAGCATATTGGCTCAAACCACAGGTTCCAACTTTAATCAGGGAGGCTAAAGCATGGTCAGAAACCCGCCAAAAAGGAAAGTTGGAACCTGGCGTGCGACCCCAAAGCAAAACTTGGAACTTTGCTGTCGCATCGACCCACCCAGGAAACGCCGGAAGAAGTATTGCAATATATATATATATATATATATATATATCCTGCACAAGGAGGCTTTCTTGCCTTTTTGCCTTCGTAGCTGTATACAACAGCAACAACAACAACACGTCTGTCTGACAACAAGAAGAACAACAACAACAGCAACAGCCACAACCACAACCACCACGACAACCACAACAACAACAGCAACAACAAGAACACCAGCAACAGCAACAACAACAACAAGAACAACTACCACGACGGCAACGGCGAGGACGACGACGACGATGACGAGGATGTCGACAACGACACCAAAAAAACAACGACACAAGACAGAAGATTTGAAATTGTAATCCCGCAATATTCACACGCGAAACACGACCCTGCAAATTGTAGTGCTCCAATAGCTTCATGCAAGACACAAGCAAAACCAGACCCTGCGAATGCTAGTTCCCCATTAGCTTGATGGAAAACACAAACAATAAAAGACTCTGCAAATTGCAGTTCCCCAATAGCTTGATGCAAAACACAAACAAAGCCGACCCCGCAAACTGTAGTTCCCCAGTAGCTTGATGCAAAACACAAGCAGAAGAACACACCGCAAATTGTAGTTCCCTAATAGCTTCATGCAAAACACAAGCAGAAGAACACACCGCAAATTGTAGTTCCCTAATAGCTTGAAGCAGAACACAAGCAGAAGAAGACCCTGCGAATTGTAGTTCCCCAATAGCTTGATGCAAAACACAAGCAACACCGATCCCTTCCAATGCGAACTCCCCAATAGCTTCATGCAAAACACAAAGAAAACTGAACCCTGCAACTTGTGGTTCCCCAACAGCTTGATGCTAAACACAAGCAAAATCAGACTCCGCAAGTTGTAGTTCCCCAACAGCTTCATGCAAAACAGAAGCAAAACCAGAGCCGTCAAATTCTAGTTCCCGAATAGCTTGATGCAAAATAGAAGCAAAGACTGCAGTTGCCGCTGTTTGCAACCACAACCAGTGGACCAGACTTAGGAAAGCAAGCCGGGGCGGACCAGACCTAGGAAAAAAAAACCGTTCCGCCGCATAAACTGCAAACCCCTCAAGCCCTCTAAATGCGATTCGTTGGCCTCTCCTTCTTGTTTGTCAGACCCTGAACCCTAAAATGGTTTGTGCTTTGGGGTTCTGGACCCAAAATCGACATAAGACCTCAGACCCTGAACACTACTATAGGGGCCTTAGTAATTACCTATGCTATCTTGAGTGTTCTTCATTAGGAGCATAGTATAAACAAACCCAAAACCCTATTCTAATCATGCAGGCCCCTACATTAAAGTCCCAACCCTCAACCCCTAAAGGCCCGAACTAAAAGCCCCCCCTATACTTCAGCACACTACACTAAGCTCTACCTGATTCCCCAGCCCGCTTTACTCTACGCCCACTTCACTTTGCCCCAAACCACTTTACTCCACTCTACTCCAGTCACTTTACTGCACCCGGTTCTACCTTACCCCACTTTACCTTACCCACTTCTTTAGTACCCATTCTACTTCACCTTACCCCATTTTACGTGTTCTACTCTGCTGTACAACACCCGACTTTACTCTCCCCCACCCCACCCCACTGCTTTACCCCAAGCCACCTTACTTTACTGACACCACGCCCGCCCTGCCCCACCACGCCAGACCAGACCACACTGCATGACACGACTGCACCATAGCACACTGCTCACCGCATCACGGCGAAGTTCTTAATGGCACAGAGCCACACAGCATAGAACGCGACACCGCGGCTGCCCACGACAGTGCCGACCAAGGCGCGACTGCGAAACCCGGCCACGTCGACACAACCTGGTTCTCGGCAAACGTTGTCGAGGCCGAGCCGGCATGTTTGTTGACAGATATCGTTGGGTCGCCGGTATATGGGTTCCGACAGGTTGAGTCCCAGAAACCGCATAAAACAGGACAGCCTGTGCCATGATGCGGTGACAGCTCCCATGCCATTCATCCGCGCACCATCCTCGCAATCTCAACAGTGCGACTTGCAAGCAAGATTGACGCTGATGTTTGAACCTCTCAAAGCTTGTTCTTTTCAATGGCCAGCGGCTGTGCTCACATCAAAATGAAGCCCAGCTTCAACAGTGCCTGGAAGCATGACCCTTAAAACCCTAGACCTTGAAACCCTAAACCCTGAACCCTAAGCCCCAAATTCCCTAAACCCTGAACCCTGAACCCGTAAAACCCTAGACCTTAGCACCCTAAACCCTGAACCCTTAAAGGCCCGAAGTAAAAGCGCCAAAAGCCCTAAACCACAGACCTTAAAACCCTGGAACCCTAAACCTTAAAACCCTAAACCCTGAGCCCGTAAAACCCTAGACCTTAAAATCCTAATCCCTGAACCCTAAACCCTAAAACCCTAACACCCTAAAACCCGTTCGATAAGCACTCTGCAGTTCGAAAAGGAGCCCTTAAAACTAAAAACAACCGTAAAACCCTAAACCCTAAACCCTGAACCCTAAACCCTAAAACCCTAAAGGCCGAACTCCACAGGACGAGAAGATTCTCTTCGACGCCCAATGGGCCGATCCGACGGATGCGCTGGGCATCACCCGGCCGGGAGCTGAATTCGGAGAGGGTTTTAGGGGGTGTTTAGGGGGGTTTAGGGTTTGGGGGTGTAGGGTGTAGGGTTCAGGGGTTTAGGGGTTTAGGGGTTTCGGGTTTAGGGGTGTGTTTGGGGGTTTAGGGGTTTATGCGTTTAGGGCTTAGGGTGTCCTAAAGGGTACTTTAATTTGAAGAACTACCCCTTGTGGTTTGGGTAGGGTTTAGGGTGTTTAGGGTTTCGGGCTTTAAGGATTTGAGGTTTCGGGCTGAGTGGTTTGTGGTTTAGGTTCTAGTCTAGGGCCAGGGCTCCGGGTTGAGAGTTTAGGGTTCAGGGTTTAGGTAGGGTTTGGGGGTTTCAGGGTTTAGGGGTTTTAGGGGTTTAGGGTTCAGGGTCCAGGGTTTAGGCATGGTTTATGGTTTGGGTATGTTTGGGTCGGGTTTAGGGTGTTAAGGGTTTCGGGTTAGGCTGCCAGGGATTTAAGGTTTTGGGCTTTGTCGGTTAGGGTTTAGGGAAGAGGGATTTCGGGTTTGGGGTTGCGGGTTGGGGTGTCGGGCTTACCAAAAAGATTACGGCTGAGATAGACCATTATTATGATACATGTGTTTCATTGAAGCGTTACTGGAAAGGTACTCGTCGTCTGATAAAGCTGCAGCGAATACTGTAAGGGTACATAACGATACTGTTGGGGTTTTGGGGTTTGGACGTTTAGGGCTTAGGGTTTATCGATACTATACGGGAGGGTCTCTGAAGCAAAAGATTGAAACATTCACCAGGAAAGAAGCTCGGGATCTTTGATCTTTGATTCTCGACAGCTTCACAGAATCTAAAGGAGCTAAGCCGCACAACCCTAAACTTTAAATCTGAAACCCCGATAGTCTTAAATGTACGACGTAGACCCCGAACGACAGAATCCTGTAGCCTACATCCATATGTACCCCGCAAAGCTAAAAGCTAGCCCAAAAGCCTTACTAGTCTCGTCTTTATAATAGCAAAAGCCTTATATTCTGAGTCCTTAGAGCCGCAGAGTCGCAGACCGTCACGAAATCCTATAAGACCTCAAACCCTAAGCCCTAAACCCAAGCCCTAAACCCTAAACCCTAAACCCCAAATGGCTACGGCTCAAGGCCGTTTGGATTAAGGAAATCTGTAGACCCCAAAGCCTGCCCTATCACTTCCGAGCTTGGCGTTCGCGATCTACCCGATTCACCTGGTGACCTTTGGCGTCCTGTGCGTCTTCGAGGCTGCCGGCGTGATTAGGGACTTCCTGACCTGGCTCCCTGGGGGTTTTTCTTCGGGCTCGGTTTGACGATTCTGCACTTTGTGATGGCGACGCGTCCTGTGACTGGGAAAGGGTCTCCGACTGAAGTTGTTGAAGACTCAGATGAGGATTTGAAGGAGGAGCCAAATGATGATGATGATGGCTTGGCCCCTGGTGCAGTTGCTGCTGCTGGGGGTGTCAATCCGGGTGGTTCATCAATGTGTGTTGATGGCACGGGTGGCTCGCCCTCTAGAGCTAAACGTGCTCGTGATCTGAGCGATCCAGAACCCCCTGCTCGTCGGCCTCTTTCTCCTGGTGATGATCGCCCGGTTTCCTCTAAAGAGTTCCGTAGTCTGCTTCAGGAACACCTTCAGACCATGACACAAGCGTGGGGCGAGATGAATGGTAGAATGGCACAAGTCGAGAAGGATGTTCATGCTCAGAAGAATGAAAAGGACCTGATGTACTCTCGTATTGCTCAGACAGAACGTAAACAGTCGGAGAGTCTTGGTCGGATAGAGAAGATGGAGAAGGACATCCAGGAACTTCGTGCTGCTGGAGGTGCTGCTGGCTCTACTGGAGATGCCCCATCGGGTGTCAATCGTCCTGTTCACTCCGACCCTTGGTCGACTTATCGTGCTCGACATGGACCGCTTCCGCCCAAAGGTGGCCCTGCTGCAGGGGCTAATCCTGATGGTCATCCTGAACCTGGACGTGATGCTGCTGGTGGACGTGATGGTGTTGCTCGAGACGAACTATCCGAGGAGGATCGCCGCACGCTGGTCTTCGGGGGGTGGGCCCAGGATAGCAAGAGGCAGACGATCCTTGATGAGGCTGGAGCACTACTCCGTCGTGAGGATGTTAAGCCACTTGTTGACTGTCAGGAGTTGACTGTGTATGGTCCTCGGCGCTCCTTTGGTCTCTTGAGATTCAAGCCTCGAGCTGATGAAGACACTCGGGGTGTGCGTGACAGAATGTGGAGGGTGATTCAGTGTCTTCGTTCGCAGCCACACAGGTTGTCTTCTACCATACAGGGTGGATCCGATCCTCTTGGGCGTCCCATGTGGGCACAATTCGTCAAGACCCGTGAAGCCCGTCGTAGAAGCTCCCATGGGTCGTTGCTTCGAAGGGTGTGTCTCCAGCTTGTGAAGGACGCAGCCCACAATGGCGAGGCACATAACCCGGCAGCGGTCGAGGAGGGTGCCTTTGATGTGGATTGGAATGCAGGCACGGTGTGGTTGGGAGAGTGGAAATTGGGATCGAGTACCCATCGCCCCCCTGTGAAGGAGGATGTCAAGTTGCTTTCGTCTGGATGGGTGGACCTCGACTCGGTGGCCAAGGCTCTGGGTGTTACCTGGGACTCGGCACTTGGCGCCTTCGAGCGCGAGCTGTGACGGGTGAACGTGGATGGTTTCACCTCTTCCCTTCCTACTGACTCCCAAGGAGGTGCTGTGGGTGGTGAAGATGCAAGACGCCCCATTTTGGGATGTAATTTGGCCTCATGGAATCTGGGTGGACAGTCCTTGCCGAAGGCAGACGTCGTGAGTGGAGCCCTTGATCTACTTTGTGTTCAAGAAGTGCCTCGCTCTGAGCCTGGGTGGCGTGAAGAAACAACGGATGGTTTCACGTGGTTGCTTCATCAAAGTTCTATTCAATGGAGAGGAGTTGGCATTGGGGTGTCGCATGATTTGTTTGACTGCACTACTGATCGGAGATCGTGTTCACATGGTGCTGCGTGGGTGGTTCGCCTTCGTAATGCCAAGCGATTTGTGTTGGCTTCGCTTCATCTTCCTACTGGTGTACCTGTGCAGGAGTACTACAAGGCTTGCAGCAATTTTCGGAGCATGCTTGTGGGTTGGCACACTGATCTACCTTGCCTTGTTGGGGTGGATGCAAACGTTGAACTGGTGTGGAGTCGTGCTGAGGATCGTGAAGGAGGTGTTGGACTTCAGTCAGGTGGCAAGGTAGACAAGTTCCTGGAGATGTGTGGGTCGTTGCGATTGCAGGCACAGGCCCCTCAGATGTCAGATCGGTGGGTACCGACACACTACCCGCGTGATGTGAGTCGTGAAGGTCGACACATTGACGGTCTGTTAGTTCGTGGTCTGGCTTCGTCTCCGGTTGTTGTTGATGCTGATGTCAGGTTGAACATCAACACGGACCATGCTCGCCTTCAGTGTCGAGTGGAACTCCAGAAGACGAGGGGTGGACGTGGGAGAGATGGTCGGGCACGATGGGTGTGTGATACAGACAATCTCTACGAGCCTGAGACCTGGGATGATGTCAAGACTATGGCGCACTTGTTCACTCGACCTCGCCCTGCCGCACGCTATAAGGATGATAAGGAGACCCTGGATCTGATCTATGAGGCAAAGGCTGCCCGCGGAGTACCTGCAAAGGATCTATGGAAGCGTGTCCATGCTTTGCGGAAAAAGAAACGACGTGAATGGAAGCGAGATCGGATGCTCTCCATCCTGGGTGGCAACTGGCATGCATACCGTGACTACAAACGTGAGAGGGGACGGCGAAACTGGTGGGGCAGACTGCTTCAGGATGTGTCGGCGAATGAACTTGGCAAGAAGGTAACGGCACACCTTGAAGCCAAAGTCCATGATGCTGGTCTTGATTGGCATGCTGAGCTCCAACGACGTCTTGATGCCCTGCCTTGTCATGATAATTCGTTTCGACCCATCTGCTGTGAGGAGGTTGCTAGTGCTCTTGCTGGCATGCGAGCTCGATCGGCTCTTGGACCTGACTTGGTGGGTGTGGATCTTTTGCGTAAGATCTTTGAACATGCACCGCTTGCACTTTGTCGCCTGTTCAATGAAGTTCTACACAGTGGCAAGTTACCTCAAGACTGGGACGTATCGCTGCTTGCACTACTTCCCAAGACGGCCTGGCCTGCCGGGGTGTCGGACCTCAGACCCATAGCGATGTCATCGGCGTCCATGAAGACACTGTCTCGCATCGTTATGGCACGCACTTTTCCTGCTATGAGACGGCCGTGTCCATGGACGGCTGCAGGGTGTGGAAGATCTTGTGCTGATATGCATGGGACGTTTAGCAGACTACGTGACATGTGTCGGGAGTGGCGTGCTGGTGTTATTGCCGTTAAACTTGACATACGTGGTGCCTTTGATCATGTCCACAGGAGTGCTGTTGCGGACTTCATCACAGAGCATTTGCAGGGTGAGGATGTTCCTTTTGAGCTGCGCTTTCTGCTTCGTCTCTTGGATGTCAACAAGTTGGAAGGGTGTGCACCTGGAGGCGCCCGACTTTCTGTCGAATGTAACCGGGGGATCCGTCAGGGGTCGCCAGAGTCGGCCGAGATCTTCGGGCTCCTGGTGTCCAGCATCATCTCTCGGCTAAAGGCCTCCAATCAGTGGCGGGTGCCCAATGGATATCTTCGGGATCTTCCTGCTGACGTAGGATGTTACCAAGATGATATCTTTGTTTGGGGTGAGCAACCTGGTCCCATTCAACACAACATTCAATTGATTTCTGAAGCATTGCGCGCTGTTGGGTTGGAACTCGCCCGAGAGAAGACAGCTGTCGTGTCCTCCAAGTACTACAAGGGTGTGAGATATGTCATGGTTGATGGACTTCGTGTCGAAATGCAGCCAGCTGGTTCTTCCCTGCGCGTCCTTGGCCTCGACTTTGACTTCGATGCTCCTGCTCACCAACAAGCGAAGGAGATCATGGGCAAAGTATGGACTGCCTTCCATGCTAGTAAAGAACTGCTTTGTGGACCAGGGTCGCGTTCTGCCAAAGTCTACCTCGTGCGGATGCTCATCGAAGGGTGTTGGAGTTGGACGGCTGGGTCGCTTCACTGGGAAAAGGATGATCTTCGTGCTATGAACTCCTTGCAGTTGCGGGTGTATCGCCTCTGTTTCGGATGTCGTCGTGGAGCTGATGAAGACTGGGTGTCATACAACTCCCGTTCCCTACGTGACATACGTGCCTGGGTACACAACAATGGTACAGAGAGATGGAGCTCCAAGATTCTACGATTGCAATTCCAGCTCATGGGCCACTGGTCTCGCCGATGGGAAGGTGAAGTTCGCTGCTTAGCTGGGCGTATGCAATTGTGGCGTTGCCTTGCTTGGTGGCAGAAGGAACAGGCCATTACTCCCAACGCTGGTGGCAAACGCCATCCTCAGTGTTTCCGTGCTCAAAACCTTGAGCGCTCTCTGGCTTCTGCGGTGGGTGTTGAATGGCCTGAAGCGGCAGCGAACCGTGATGGGTGGCGACAGCTCCTGAAAATGTGGCTGAGCGCTGAGGATGTGCCGTGGTGCTGTGGACGTCAAGCTGCTATCGGTCTGTAGACATGTGCTACTGTTGGTACTGCCTCCGCACTGCATGCCATGTCACTAGTGAAGTTTGCGGACTGAATCCATCGATGTGATGTGCGGTGTGTGCGTGCTGTGCCAGCTCGAAACCTTCTACATGTGACTTTGTCCTACGTTAACATCTGCATGAACAAAGTGTTACAATCTGTACTTTGCGAACAAGAAGTTTTGGACGTTGCAACCTTTTCTTGAGTTTGTAAGGATTCCCCTGTAGTTGGAGTGAACAATGGTGCGACGAGGGCGGTGCTGCCTGCTCGCTGTGGTCTGCGGTGCCTTTGCCGGGTCCCTTCGTGCACTTGTGTGTGGAGATACTGACGTGCCCTCTCCTGTTCCTCGTGACGATGGGAGGGCTGTGACAGAAGCGACTGGTGCTGGTGCTGAGTGCTGTGCCTGTGTGTCGTCTACTACAACAACAACGTGGGCGGTGGATGCACAACCTCAACCTGAACCACATCCTGAAAACACTGCCCATGGGTGGAATGCCGGAGTGGGTGGACGTCAGGCTCGACGCTGGAGCCGTTACTCGTCCGGGGGGACTGTGGATGGACCGCGACATGATGGTGATCGGCAATGGTCCCATGGAAATTCTGGCAATGAACGTGGCAGTACTCCACACTGGCAGACTACTCCTGAATGGCTACATGATGAAGGACGTGCTCGTGAACGTGATGGGTGGAGACAATCTGGAAGTAGTAGCAACTGGCAGTCTGGTTGGGATGTACCCTACTGGTGGGTTCCGCCTTCGGATGACTGGCGACAATTTACTTCTGAACAACATCGTGATGTTCCTTGGCCCTCTTCCTCCTCGGCATCTACGCTTGGGTGGTATCGTAGACAACGTGAAGGTGAACAACAACATGGCTCTTCTTCGTCTTCGGCTTCATTTGGATGGACTGGGCAACCTCGAGAACGTGAAAGACCACATGGTTTCTGGCAAGCAGGTCAGTGGGTTCCAAGACAACGCACGGACTCTGAGGAACGTCTACATCGTGGTGGCCAAGGACCTGTGCGATTGGAACGCCGACAGCGGCGTGTGGAAGCTTGGGAGGATGGAAGCTTTCGACCGGCTGCATTCCATCGGGGAGTGCCTGGGATGAATACACCTGAGATGCGTGAACTTCGTGAACAAATGGGACGTGTACTACGTGAAGCTGCTGCTCCTCTTCGTGGACCTTCTGGAAGTGCTCCTCGTGGCGATGGACTACATCCTGATCGACCCCCTCGTGAACTTGGACACGGTCGTGCAAGTACTCCGGGTACACAATCGCCTGAAGACATTGGCATGCCACGTTGGACTGCAAGACAATGGGATGATTGGGAGAGATGGCACAACCCCATGCTTCTTGCAAACTGGGTTGAGCGTGGTCCGCCGTCGTGGGAGTTTGTCGCTGAGGAGGTTGAGGATGACGAAGCTGTGCTGTCGCAGTTGAGTGCAGCGGAAACGCGCCTTGACATGCAGTTGAGTGCAGCGGAAACGCGCCTTGACACCACTGTGTTGATGCAGTTGAGTGCAGAAGAAGAGGGGCGCCTCCATGATTTGGGTGTTCCTGACCAGATACGACGTGATATTCGTGACATGCTACGAACTTTAGAAAACCACCAAGCAGGTGACGTGGGTGCTGAATTCCGATGGGGTTTGCGGCGTTGGCTACAAGCCTGGCGTCGTGGGTGTGAACAGGCGGAGGCTGTTGCACGCATACTGGAAGCACGTGTTGAAGGTCCCTTACCATATTTTCCAGTGCTTCGTACTCCCCGTGAAATGGCGCAGCATGAAAGATGTGTGGCATTCAACCGGCAGTGGACTGCAGTGCTTGTGCCGCTGCTTGAACGCTTGGTGGACGTGGCTATGACGGCGGGATGTCCTCCTCCTGAAAGTACAGGTGCAACTGCTGGAGGTTCTACTGGTGGTGACGTTGGCGGTGAGGTGAGTGCATCTGGTGATGCTCCTGTGCGAGAGCGCTCTCGGTCTCGGGATGGTGAACCTGTCCGTGTGAGTTCTTCGTCCTCTACATCTTCACGCCCGCGAACACGTCGTGCAGTTCGTCGCAGTGGGGTGTCTGGCAGTGTTGCTACACGGGATAATCCTGCTCCTGGACGTGAAGGTGGAGTCTCTGGTGGTGGTGGAGTCTCTGGTGGTAGTGATGGCATGGCTTCTGGCAGTGAGGGTGTCAGCATGGTGCAGCGACTACAACCTGAAGAAGCGCGTCGACTTCAAGGTCTGGGTGTTCGTCCGCAAACGGTGTTGGCATTGGGCCGTTTCCTTGAGAATATGGCCCAGTGTGAAGAAAATGCTGCGAATACCGAGCTGGATGTTGCCACTGCTCAGTGGTGTCTACATGCCGTGGAATGGTCTGTTCAACATGCAATTGCAATGCAAGATGAGCTCCAGGTGATCTTGACACGCCGTCTTCGACGTTCTCCTGATGCTCTCCCACTACCTGTCGAGGAGCAACGTGGGGCGTCAGCACAGGCAGACCATGAACTCATGGTTGGCCTTGCACGGAGCTTTCTCTTGGAACTTCATGAAAGGTTGTCTAACTGCTGGCCGGATCCTGAGCGACTTCCAGAACATCTACGCGGCATTCCACCCACCAGTGAAGAGGAACGTCCGAGATCCCGGAGTCCACGTCGCCCTGAACGCGCTGCGGGTGTTGACAGTCGCGGGGTTGACACTGTTGGGGCCGAACAGGGACGTGCAAGTGGCAGCCATTCTGAGGGTGACGGAGACGCCATGGACGGAGACGCCATGGACGAAGCTGCGCTTATGCAAACCTTGAACATTGCTGAGGCGCAAGCACTTGATGATGAAATGGTGAGTGGACACTGTATTCATGCCCTGAGCGCTTTGCTGGAGCAATTCCGTGACCTACGTATGCGTGCTGCGGACTGTGACGATGTCAACTGGTACGTGGGTGTTCTGACGGAGACACTTCGTACGGCTACTACGGCGCTTCGTGCGTTGTGCACTGTTCTTGAAGCACGCGAGGGAACTGTGCACCGGCTACCTCCTGAAGAAGATCGACGTGCACTTATGGGCCTGTCCGCGGAGTTCATTCGTGAAGTTGTCCAGATGGTGAATGGGCGTCTCGTCACTGGGATAGAAGCGGCCTGGGTGGATCCTTGTACTCTTCCTCTTCGTCTTCAAGCACTCCAACCAGAACCTGTTCGACCGGGTCGTGTACGTGATGCAGATTGTGAACGTTCTCGCAGTCCTGTACGTGATGGAGTACGTGATGGTCGTGACACACAGATGGGTTCGGAGTTCTCTGAGGGTGATGAATGTGGTGAGGCTATGTCGTCTGTCGCCGATCGCATCGTTGAGGGTGACTTCTGAGGGGCGAACTGTTCTAAGTTGATGGCATACTGCCAGCGCAGCGGAAAGGGGCGCATGTCAACTTTAAAAAAAAAAAAACCCTAAACCCCTAAACCCCAAAACCCATAAACCCCTAAACCCCTAAGCCCTAACTCAAGCTTGGGATCAACCGTTCCGAGGTCCTCGCGCGGAAGCATGGTCATGAACTTCGGCCCGGATGTCACGCGGAAGTTTCTCCAGGAGAGGGTACGGCTTAGGGGTATAGGGTTTATGGGGTGGAGGTGTTTAGGGTTTAGGGTTTACGGGTTTAGGGTTCAGGGCTTCGGGTTTAGGGTTTAGGGCGGTTTACAGCAGAAGCCCAAAAGTTGGAAACCCAATAACCTCAATGTATAGGGAATCCCGGCTCTATTTGGCCTTAATCCGGTTTCCAACACTTTATGGGGTTTAGTATAGGGGTATAGGGCTTATGGGATTTATGGGTGTAGGGGTTTAGGAGTTTAGGGTTGGGTTTAGGGTTGACATGGGTTTACGGTGGTTTAGGGTTTAGGGGCCTCGGAGTTTTAAGGATCCGTGGGATTAGGGATCAAGAGTCCGGGTGTGTGAGTGCTCGGATCTGAAGCAGTAATGGGTGTATGGAGTTTAAGATTTGCGCAATTTCCGACTTACAGTGTTCGTGGGGCTAGTTTTCGCGAACAATAGTGTTGATTTAAGTTTCATGATCGATAGTCCATCTGAAGAGAATGCACGACAGATTCGGTGGCATTTGGGATTCGAAGGCTTTTGACGACATCCGTGTGCCAAAATTTGTTGCACCACTACACCATCACACCGTACAGAACCAAGGGCATTTTTTTGCTTAGGATTCCGATCGCTGCAATACCCAGACGCTTACAGAGGCCGGGCGGCCGGGATGGTTAGAATGGGCTTTGCAACTGTTTCATGACGCTTTGAAGGCAGGAGAATGCAGTTCTGATATATAAATATTCGAGTATACTACTCTACCAACATACTATTCGACCAATATATGCATTCCTACGGTGTGATGACCTCACCCAGTCCCGGATCCAGTCAAGATGTTTGCTTTCAGGCTATGCCTGAGCCACGAATCGCAAAACCCCTTGACCCCAAACTCAAGCCCCAAACCAGAATCCAAGTCCTACCCCCTTCTATTCGGCAGCGTTAGTCCCTGGTGCATAAAGCCCTGAACCCCAAACCTCAAACAGAGTCGAAGCCTCAACGAGTGAGCAATACCTAAGGTAAGGCTGAGAAGAGTACTACCCCCCAATCAAAAAGTTTAGAGTTTAGGGTTTGGGCCTACCACCTTCGGCCCCTCCCCAATCTAGAGTTCAGGGCTTGGGGGCTAGGGGGAACCTGGGGATGTTGCGCAGGGCTGAGAGTGCAGCCAGGACAATGAGCTCTCTTTGTGCATCCGCTCGCATCAGGCCTTGGCGTAACATGGGATACTACAATTTAACCCTAAACCACTAAACCCGAAAGCCTAAAATCATATTATTTGGGGTACTATACGGGCCAATACTATACGGGGGATACTATATTGAGCCATGCGCTGTTCACCGGTTTTGAGATTTCCGCCTTCAGGCGAGAGAGGGCAGAGTTGCGGGTTTGGGCCTCTTGGTCTTATGGGGTTTAGGGTTTGCGGAGTCTTTAGGGGGGGTTTAGGGTTCAGGTTTTAGGGTTTGAGGGGGTTTCGGCATGGCCTAGAAGCCCTGTGGGAGGCAAGAGTCAGGATTTAGGGTTTAGGGTTGCTCTTCTGGGATAGCCGTCCAGACTTTTCCGTTTCCATGTCTGGATCGTGGGATGCTGAGCGTTGCAGGAAGTCCAAGAGCCGCCCAAAAGCCTACCTCGTCCAATCTAAACCCTACGCCCGGGTGGAGTTGTTGAGCATTTTCTCCAGGTGCCTCGCACCTTAGATGGCTTCGAGCTGCAGCACGACGGAAGCTCGGAATCAACGATCTCGAAAGACCACTGGGGTGGTGGGTTTCAGGGTGTGAGCTTTGAAGGCAAGGTTTAAGAGCTTGAGGTCCTTAGGTTGAGAAGTTCTGAGAGTTTGCACCTTTTTTGCGTTTAGGCTAGGGTGGGATCAGGGTTTCGGGTTAAGCCCGAAGAGCCCTTCACCCCAAACGGCTTCAACGCCCGGCCACAATTGTAATGTAGGAACCTGATTAGGGAAACGTTGGCCCTATAACCCCAAAATAGTAGGATCCATATAAGGAGCCTCAATAAAGACCCAAGGTTTCTTAATCAGGTTCCTACATTATTATATTACCCTTAGAGATCCCTGATAGTATATAACCCTTATAGACCCCTTTAAAGGAACCCTAATAAAGGCCCAAGGTTTCTTAATCAGGTTCCTACAGGAAACCGACACTTCTGAGTCCGTGCTTGTCGCGAGAATAATAATAGCACTTGCTGACAGCCCAAGGCTGCTAATATAGGGGCCTTAATAAATAGAGTAGGGTTTAGGGCCTTAAGAATTAGAATAGAGTTCCTTAAAAGGGCTCCTGAAAGGGTTCTAAAAGGGATCTACAATAATATGGTATAGGGGCCTTAATAAATACAGTTGGGTTCCTTTTAAAGGGGTCTAGAAGGATTGCTACAAGGGATCTATACGGTACTATGATACAGGGGCCTTTATAATTACCTATACTTGTTTGGGGGTTCCTTAGTATAGCTACAGTAGAATGGGCCCCGAAACCCCATTCTAATTATTAGGGCCCCTAGTACGGATAGATATCCTCAGATGTGCTGCCTTGAACTCGCTGCTCGCTTCAGGTTATTTTTGTATTTAGCCCTAAGCCATGTAGCTAGTTAAGTCTCCTTGATGAGGGGATCCTAAGATAAGTCACAGCAAATGTCCTTGATCAGAGGTATCAGCTGTCACTGGCTAGCGTAAACTTTCTAGAGCATGCCAGCTGTCTGCCACTTAACCCCCAAACCCTACAAACCCTAAACCCAGAACCCTACACCCTAACCCTAAACCCCTCAAGCCCTAAACCCTCCACGAGCCCGCAAGCCCTAGACCCTCATAAACGACATCCGAGGTCGACTCCTCACCGTCTTCAGTGCGTCGAACTACGGCGGGAGGATGGCCAACACAGGCGTTTCAGGGTTTCGGGTGTATAGGGTTTAGGGTTTATGGTGATTGGGATTATAGGGTTGAGGGTTTAGGGTAAAGGGCTTGTGGATTTGGGAGGCTTTAAAGTCTAAGGTGTTGAGGTTTAAACGCCATTCCTCCCTCAAATCCCATGCCTCTATGTTGCAAACGCAGCTTTAGGCGGGACGCCCCCCCGACTTTACAACTTGGAGCCCGCTATTTCAGGGTACAATAATTACCAATACTACTTTGGACCGAAAAAAAAACAAAATACTACTTTGGAGGTTCCTTGTTATAACTATAGTATAGGATACTCCAAAACCCTATTCTAAAAAACCGAGGCCCCTACATTATACCGATCCTAGGACCTAGAGTAGGCCCTTATTCCCTTTTTCAGGGATCAGGTTCCCCTACAAGGCCCTTTAAAGCAAAAAGGGCATCCTTTTTATTCCTAGGCTACTCTTGGGTCTAGGATCACGAACTGTTCGTAAAGCCCTTCAGCCTGAAAAGCTGCAAGCTTAAATCCTCAAAGCTTTGGCCTTTGCACCGATGCCCGGCCCCAAGCAGGAAGATTACCCACTTGGAGGGTCGGGGGACTTAGTAACTGGCTATTTTTAGGGACTTATAAGTACCATAACCCCAATTAGGGTCCCTTCTAGGGTACTTGTAAGTCTACTTACTACCTACTTACTAAGTCCCTGAACCCTCAATTTCAAACCCTATAGTACCACTATAGAGCCCTTTAAAGGAACCCTTAGAATCCCCTTGAAAGGAGCCCCTACTAAGTCCCCGACCCTCCAAGCAGGATTCCTAGATGTTCTCCCCTGAAGCCTCAGAAGCTTTCTGGTTCAGAACTTGTAACGCACTGAAACTCTGAGGCTACTGTTGATGATACAAATCCTGCATTACCTTAAGGACCCTAAGCTATGGGAATTATGGTATATTACTTGTTATGGGTCATGCAGAATTTAAATCATCAGCCGTACACCCTGAGCCCCAAACTTCAATCGCCCTAAGGCCTGAGCCCGAAGACTGATAGCTGATAGCCTACAGCTCCACAGAACTTAAACCTGGAACCCAACTCCCTAAGCCGAATGTCTAGGATTTTGGGGTTTAGGGGCGGGGGGGGGGGTGGGGTAAAGGGTTCCTTTAAAGGATCCAGAAGGGTTTCTTTTAAGGGATTCATAGGGGTTCTATGAAGGGGTTTAGGGGTTTGGGTTTAGGGCTATAGCCCCCTAAGACCTTAAGGCTAAAGCCCTGAAGCCCTCGCGAACCCGAACCCTGAATTCCCTCCACCCCCGGAGCGTAGAGCAGAAGAGCCCACCGCCTTATCGTGAAAGCCAGGGATTTAGGGTTTGGATTGTAGGTTTTAGGGTTTAGGATTTCGGCCCAAACCTCAACCATACAATCCCAAAGCCCTAAACCCCAAACCCTAGCTTCAAGGCGCCAACTCCATTTTGATTGGCGCTTTTGGTCCTGAGAACACAGTGGTCGTTCCCATTCCGGCTCCTTGCGCGGAGTATGCCGCGGCATTCTCATTGCCGCTGGACAAGGCCGGAGCAGTCGAGACTTCCGACGAGGGCTTTTGCAGGTCTCACGGTCCAGCGAGACTGATCGTCGCTGACTTTGTACAATTTCTTGACCAGTCAGGCCGCCACATCCTTCGCTCCATTGTCACCCATGCGGCATGGATCTTGAGTCTACCTCAGGCAGAGAAAAACGCGGGTTTGGCAGCAGCTGCTGCTCTGCCACAGGTCGGGCGCTCAAACGCTGTGCATGAGGTGGAGTTGATGTTCATGGCACTCGATTTTGGCCCTCAATATGGAGCCTGAGGACGTTCGCTATATCAGAGGCCTCACCAACCCCAACGTGGATTTCCCTGCGGGAGTATCTGCAAAGTTGAAGGTTGCCAGTGGGTACCTCAAATTGACAAATGTCAATTCATTTGTCTTGAAGCTGTTGGGATCCCTGGAGTTTTCGGACCAGACCAAGGCTCATGCTGCTAACTGCGGCTTTGCCGAGCATCCGGTCGATTCTCAACCGGGAACCCCTCTTGACCCAGCTAATATAGCCGGACGTTGCAGCATTTTGGGGCGTTTTCGTCCTGAATTGCTACGCGACCAACTCCATCCGTCAGCACTCTACATCCTATTGGGATGTTATGCTGACCGCATCGGATTCACGACCGCAATCGCCACTATGTCTGCCGTTTGTTACGAGGTCGTCAATGACGGCATCCGTCACCTGTACTCAGGATTACGGGAGGCGTATGAGGCAACACTTACCCAAGGTGGAACCGCAGTCACTGAAGCGGCGCTGAAAGATGTCAGCGTCCAGGGCTGTTTCGACCACATTGTGAGCTCTGATGAAGATTTTCAACTTGGGAGCGGTCAGTGTTCCAGGCCTACGAGACGCCATCTACAGCAGGTGTCAGGCTGATGCTACGAATCATGGAGTACGCTTCATAGATTATGAAAGGATTGTCTTGACCATGGATCCTTGTGGATTGATCGCCAAGGAGGGCGGTCACCAGATGACGGATCCTGACGCTGGCGCACCGGTTACGTTGCGAGCAGCATCGGTGACGGGACCGAGCTCTACGGCTGGGGCAACTCTGCTGGGGATGAACATCCGCTGGCAGGGATTGGACCTTGGCTACATTGACTCGGACGCACTGAACGCCACATCCCCAATGCAATCTCTGGGCTATCTTCAGTTTGAGTCTCAGATTGCAAGCGGGGTAATGGCAAAGGTCAGAGACTATCACAGGCGAGACGCGATTGACCTGGCCAATTGGGTTCCGCCTTGCCTAAGCCTTCTCCTAAACCTCCCCCGCGTCCGAAGGCAAAACCTAAGGTAAACGCTAAAGACTTGATGCAACCTGCTCTGAAGTTCTAGGCTCAAAGGGGGCAGGCTCGTGGGACCTCGCCCTAGGGCTGAGGTCCCGCCATGCCGCCGAAGACTCCTGGCCGGCAGTTGCAGACCCAGCTCGCGCGGGAACAGCAGGGACTATCTTGGAAGTCTTCAGGGACTTTGGAGAGACAACGGGCAAGGAAAAAGAACAAGAGGAAGAAGGGCAAAGGTTTGCCCCTGACTCATCTACCAAAGCCGCAGGAAGAACCTTTGGACGAGGAGTCCTCAAGCGAAGTGGAGGTGCTTGGGGCTGCTGGGGCCACACCTTCAGGGCTGAGGCCCCAGCAAGCTCAGCAAGTGCCTGATGGGAAAGAAGCCTTGGAGGGGCTGGTGCAAGGGGCCTCGCCTTCGGGGCTGAGGCCCCAGCAGGCTCAGCAAGTGCCGGCTGGGCAAGAAACCTTGGAGGGGCTGGTGCATGGGGCCTCGCCTCCAGGGCTGAGGCCCCCACCGACACCCAGAAGGCAACCAGAAGCAGCCCAGACAGGCTCCGAAGAGAAGAAAAGAAAGGAGGCCTCCCCAGTGAGGGAGCCCACGTCGGAGGTAGAGAGCGCCCCGCCTTCTTGGCGGACCTCCGAGGCTCAGGAGCCGATCGTGAAGTTCGATCCAACGAAGCTGGTTTCAGGCCCTTTGACCATGCACCGGCTCCAAGGGACCAAACTTTGAGGGTCATAGGGTTGGGGCCTGCACAGCCCAACCAGAAGCACCCCGTGACCTTGTCGCAGTACATGCCAAAGGAGCTCCTCTTCATCTTTGATTTGGGGGGCAGCTGTCACTGCAAGGCAACATGGTCACGAAGGCTGGGGAAAGGAAAGGACAGACTGGTATACCTTGACCCAGTCAGCCCTGTTCATGTTCTCAAAATGGCCTATCCTGATGGTCATGGACAAGAAGTTGCTATCTCCTCTCGTTTCCCCGCGCTTTTCCCGGGGGTGGAAGATATGGGCCATGTTCTCATTAAGTTGAACTGGCTGGACAGTGTCGACCATTGCAGGCTCCACTGCCTGCTCGGGACTTTGACAGGCCTCTGGCCGTGGACTTTTCGCGCCACCGGAATGATGTTCATGGCTTCCAGCCTGGCTCTTGGTACGACACTTCGCTGAGGAGCCGAAGAGGGGAGATCCCACGATCAGGGTGCCCTTTTTGGGCCCAGCTCCGCCGTGCCAAAAAAGCCTACCCAACCGTTCCATCATTTGCCGCAAGAGCTGATGGTCATTCACAACTTTGCTCTAAACTTGGCCCTAAACCCTACCTTAACCCCAAATAACCTACCTTTTTAGGGGACTTATATAAAGAAATCATATTCGGGGGGTGAAGATCGCTCCTGCTCAGCAGTTTGGACTCCGAGGTTGGGGTTCGGCAAAAGCAGGTGCGTCTATTCAGATCCCGCGGCTCCAGGCTTCGTGCTCAATCTAGGGACACGGCTACGACTATGCCATTTCTCAGGAGCACCCGTTGATTGTTCCAGCCACTTCGGACTGTGGGCAAGCAGTGGTCAAACTCAATTGGAAGGACTCGGTGGGCCAATTACAAGTCCATGTTTTGAGAACGGCCAGGATGATGATCGTCTTTCAAGTTGGCGCCGAAGCGCACACCCACAGATCGCGCAGGGCTTCCCTACATAGAAACCTTAAATCCTGAACCCTAAACCAGCTCGAGCGACGAAAAAAGCCCTCAAAAAAAAACCTTATACAAAATCCTAAACCCCTACCCCAAGCGGCCCTCAGGCGCCGTCGCCATCCTCCGGCGTGGCCCGCAATCGGAGCGCAAAGCCGCGCTGTCGTTGAGGTGGGAGGGCTTAGGGTTTAAAGGGTAGGTACAGGGTTTAGGGTTTAGTGTTTAGAAGTTCGGAATACACTACACTACTAGCACTATAGTTTGAGTTGATTCTCAAAGCGCCCCATATTATGCAACAGTAGGTTTACAGAAGGCCTTCAAAATCGCTCATCGAATCGGGACTATGGGTTGCTTGGAGTTTGCCTCGCCCACTGACAAGTTAGCCCTCACACCTGAAGCTCTTAAAATCTAAATTCCCATATGCGTAAACCCTTCCCTAATTAATCCTGAAACCTGGCTGCCCTCATACCTGAAGCCCTTAAAGCTTGAATGCTAGACCTCACCATGCTTGCCTTTAGCATGAAAAGTTTTTAAGCCCAGAACACCAAACTCCCCAAAACCCAAGGACCCGAAACCTTAAAGCTCTGAAACCTAACACCCAAAAAAGCCCATAAGCTCTACTTGGAAGAACTAGCCATACAGCCCTTAGAACAAGCGGCCTAAGCCCCTAAACACCCGAAGCCCTGAACCCTCAAACCTAGGGCTTAACCGTTTGAGCTATGCACCCTGAAATGAGCCCCATGAGCCCCATAAACCTTTAACCCTATAAACCCTGTACACCCAGTAAACCGTATTAGCCCTAACCCTAAATCCTATGAACCCAGAACCCAAGAAGCCCTAAACCCTATAAGCCCTGAACCCGACACCCCACCAGCCCTAAACTCTATGAGTCTATGAGCCCTAAACCCAAAGCCCCAAACCTCATGAGCCCTAAACTCTACGAGCCCGAGACGTCCTGAACACTGCGGAGGTTTCCCTGCGGACTGCGCCTGGAGTGTTTCGAGCACGAATTCCCGCAGGCACGCAGACCCAGCTTCCAAAAAACTACCTGGGGATCCAAAAACCTACTGTTTTAGGGGTTAGACCCTCTGGTTCAGGCGTCAGAACCTACTATTTTGTAGGGTTTGGGGATACAAGTAGGGTTTAGAGAGTTTGGGTGTAGGTGTTTTGGATCTAGGGTTTAAGGTTTAGGGTTACTTTAGGGTTTAGGGTTTGTGGTTTAGGGATTAGGGCTTGTGCTGTTCATGACGCTTACAGGGCTCATTGGGTTTAGGGTTTCGGGCTTATCTAGGGTTGGTTGATCCAAGCATAAACGGAGAGACCCTCCTGACAAAACAAAGCTAAACCCTAAATCGGCCTAAGCCCCTAAACCCTAAACCTTAAACCCTACACCCCTAAACCCCTAAACCCCTAACCCCTAAACCCTAAATATCAAAACCCTAAATCGGCATGCCTACCCAATGGCTCCATAGTAGTTCCTTTTTGGGATTACCGTATAGGATTCTATATATGAATCCTAAGGAACTGCTTTGTCCTCAGCCAGGGCTCCGCCGCCACCTCGGCTGCCGCCTCTGCGGCCGCGGGACTCGAGCGCTTCGATGTCGGGGCGGCGGAGGCTCCGGCTTTTGCTTACCTTTGGTTTTGGTTTTGGGTTTCAAGGTTTTAGGTTTAGGGTTTAGGGTTAGGGTTTGGGATTTAGCGTTTAGGGTTAGGGTTCTAGGGTTTCAGGGTTTTAGGGTTAGGGTTCGAGGGTTCTAGGGTTTTAGGGTTTAGGGTTTTAGGGCTTAGGGTTCTAGGGTTTTAGGGTTTAGAGTTTTAGGGCTTACTTACCTTTGGTTAATTTGTAGGGAATGGAGGAATGGGGTACAATTATAACTACTATTGCTACCATTCTTCCATTCCCTGCTACCCAAAGGTAAGTTTTGCTCTGAGGGGTTTAGGCCGTTTAGTGGTTTTAGAGTTTGGGGCTTACAGTAGGGCTGCAATAGGTATGGGGTTTGGGGGAGTAAACAAAGAGCTTGAGGGCACATGCAAGGGTTGTGTATGCGGTGTTGTTAATGCTGATTTTTGAGTGTGTGTTAGGAGATTTAAGTTCCCTAAACCCTAAACCCTAAACCCTAGTTTATAAAGTTGTAAGGTGTTAGTCCAGGCTTTAGGGCCTTTACATAGATGGTTGCAAGGTTTCATCAGCCATACACGGCTGTGGAGTTTTCCGGTTTCTATACGGGCGCAGGAGAACGTTGAAGTAGCTTTCCGGCTTTTGGGCTTTCGAGTGGCCGGTTGGGGCTTGGGTTTAGGGTTTAGGGTTTAGGGTTTAGGGTTTGGGGTTTAGGGTTTAGGGTTTGGGGCGAACTTCCGGCTCCCTAAAATGTCGACTCTCGCCCTCAGGATGCTGCGCTTCAGGATGCCCTTGCGCTCATTTGCGCCTTGGCTGGTTTAGGGTTTAGGGTTAGTGCATTCAGATCTACTATAGGAGCCCCAACCGAATAATTAGAATGGGTTTCTGGGGTGCGCTGAAGTTCAAGTATGTTGTGGAGTCCAAGTTAATGGTATCGGTAGCCCATGAGGCAGTTGGTCCAAGTATCGGCTCTACAAGATTAGTCAAGATGAGTACTCAAAGGGACCTTGGCCCCCCAAAACTGCTATTGTAGCCACTTAAGGGATTCAGGGTTTGGGATTTAGTGGTTGAGGATTATTCAATCGAGGATAGTATCTTGCAGCCGAGACCCCACAGCCCTAAACCCTAAACGCCCTAACCCCTAAACCCCTAAACTCCTTACTCCCGAAACTCTAAACCTCTGAACCCTGGACCCAGCCCGGGTTCTCGAAATGGGTGGTTATCAAAATTAGGGTCCCTTTTTGGGTACCCTAAATATTTGGCGCCGTATTATAATAGGGACCCAAAAAGGGACCATAATTTTGACAACCACCCAAATGTCAAATGTCGAGCCATTTGCCTTGCCGCCACTCCCAGGTTTCGAGCGCGACTCCCTCTTGGAGCACTGTGCCAGCGCAGCTCCTTGGGCTTGACGTTCGGGTTGTTTAGGGTTTGGGGTTGGGTTTAGGGTTTGGGTTTCAGCGTTTCTGGTCAGAGTTTAGGGTAGTGGGTTTGGGGGCTTTCGCATATGCTTAAGCTACAACGTTTGGGGCTTCGGGGTTTAGGAGTTCGGGTCCATGATTGCGGCGGGTTGTCTTGGGTGACCCTACACCCTAAACCCTGAACGAGGGCCCCCAAAAAACACATAAGCAAGAATAAGGATAGGGATATCCCATAAACCCTTTATAATGAAGCCCAATAAGGTAGGGATATCACCGTGAAATGCTTATGCTTATGTGCTTTTGAGGTCCCTAATAAACGCCTAAACCTCTCA